GTAGAAATTTACAAATCATTGCTCCAGTTTGCTATGTAGTATTCCATTGTGTGAATGAACCATAATTTCTCAATTCATTTGTTTGTACTTGTACATTTGTTTCCATGTTCTGTAATGGTGAATAACGTTGCTATAAACTTTACTGTACCAGTCTCCATTTGTGCCTCAAGTTCTCATCTTCGCAGCGTATATTCCAAGCAGTGGAATAGCTGGGTTATAGGGAATTTCTATGTTCAGCTTTTTGAGGAAGCACTAAACTGTCTTCCAGAGTGGTTATACCATTTTACAATCCTACCAACAATGTATAAGAGTTCCTATCTCATCACATCCTCTCCAACATTTATTATTTGCTGTCCTGTTAAACTTTGCCGCTGATACTGGAGTGAGATGGTATTTCATTGTGGTTTTGATTTACATCTCTCTTATTAATAGTTTTGTGGATTTCTTCATGTGTCTTGTGGCCATCTGAATAACTTTCTCTGTGAAAATTCTTTCCATGTCTTTTGCCCATTTTGAAGTTGTGTCATCAGTCTTTTCTTGAGGAGGCCCTGTAGGATTCTGTAAACTTTTGATATGAGACCCTTGTTTGAAATGGTATTGCCAAATGATTTTTTCCTAGTCAGAGGGTTTTCTTTTCACTCTGTTGGAAAATGTTTTTGATGTGTACAGGGATCTAATCTTTAGAAGGTCCCATTCATCAATTTTATCCTCTCCAGACTGAACATTTCAGCTGTATTTGGAAATCTCTTTATACCATTTCTCCAGAGGTTCTTTCCACAGATGTAATGATCTGATTCCTATGCATACCATCAGGTGAAATCCAAGTATATAACCTGCATTTATGTCTCTTAAAAAATGTATATGCTATGAATAAGTCATTGATTGTGCAAAATTCGATCATTCTCTCTCCAGCTCCATTTCTGTCACCAAGGCCATGTTTTCCAACTAATGAATCTTCCCTGTTCCCAACTTTTGCATTCCAGTCACCCATTATTATCAATAAATCTTGATTGCATGTTCGATCGATCTCCAATTGTAAAAGCTGGTAAAAATCTTCTATATCCTCTTCC